GTTCTTTGGCGCGGTTTGAGAACGAGCAGCGCTGCGTGATACGGGTTTGGTTGTTGATGCTGGATGCTGGCTGGATGCTGGCTGGATGCTGGATGCTGGATGCTGGGCCGAGCTCCCACGTTTCCGTCTCCCGTCTGCCGTTTGCCGCCGCCGCCTCAATGGCATGGCAAGGTCTGGCATGACAGAGCCGTGGGCCACAGACGGTTCGGCGGCCCTTACGGGCAGCCCGTCTTCAAGCAGTCAGAACCAGAACCAGGGTCTAGCCGTGACCTGTTTCTCGGATCCCGCAGCCACGCGCCGCGCTGTCCACAGTAATCCCGAGATAGGCCAGAGGAAGAAAGGAATATCCCGTTGTTGGAGCATGAAGCGCGAGACCCACCCCCCGCGTCCCAGCTGCCAACGGTTGCGACTGGGGCCTGCCGCGCGGAGACTGATGCGCCGAGCCCTTGCTCGCCCTCCCTTCGTCGCCCCCTTCGTCTAGACCTCGACCCTCCCGTCGGAGAAACTGCGGGCATCATGTTGGCGAGAAGGCTTAGCGGTTCCGGTGCAGCGTGCGGGCAGCTGTCTCGCATTCTGCCTAAAAGAGATGATAGCTCGGGACACCCTTTATATTGATGCCCTTCGCCGTTCCGACGCCTTGGCTGGGCCGACATCCAAAGGCCTGGACTATCTCTGCTGCGTGGAATGTGAAGTGCTACCAGTGGTACTGCTCGGTTCTGCTATTTGGGGCCATTGGGTCACACCCACACCAAGTCACCTTATCAAGGGCGCGTGCCCATCCCATCTTCACCAAGCTTGCACAAAAAGGAGGACCGACTTAAACACCACTGAGAAAGAGGAGGACCTGCCACCAACCGCACCACTGCACCACCACCAACAGGGAATACGGGAGGGGGGAAAGAGATCGACTCCGGTGGTGGATCCGGGCCGAGGTTTTGCCTTGCCTTTTGAAGCTCTGGGCAGCCTGTAAAAGCGCAGCGCACCCTTTCACCGAGAGGCGCACACCACCCCCGATGCGGTACGGCCAAGCAAGCAGCATTCCGAGGTCTCGATGGTTACAGGGTCAGGATGACAGGCTCAACAAGCGGCGCCGCCGTAACGGTTTCGACGAGGGCATCCTCAGCAGCAGCGGCAGCGGCTGCGGCTGCAGCGATAGACGTGGTCATGGGAGGAACTTCGACGACTGGAGCAGCTGGAACGACAGGGATAAAACAAACACCGACTTCACATTTAAATCACCACCACCTTCTTTACCAACCACCACAACCACCACCACCACCACCACCACAACAACAACAACAACAACCGCATCATTTGCATCACCATCCTCATCACACAGCAACTGCTGCTGCAGCAACAGCAGCAGCGGCAGCAGTCACAACCATTGTCAGCGCTAACCTGTTGGCAACAGTTGGCAGCAACCATAGCGCAAACAGTCTTAATGACAGGGGTCTCGAGCCACGGGCACGGTGCAGCCAATGCGGGCGACGGCGCACAGCCTGCCACCACCTTCCCTACCAGCAGGGCCTCCAGCAGCCCACCTCTTCCTCTTCGGGGTCGCCTGCCTCCGCAAATGCAATTCCCGGGCCAGGTCCTGCCAACGGAAGCCTCAGCGCCGCTCCGTCGCCCTTGCAGCCACGACCCCGCAGGATCTCCAAGCTAAGGCACCGTGCTGCTGCTGCTTTAACTGGCAGCGCCGCCCAACAACCAAATGCCGCCGCCATTAACTCTGTTACTTTTTCCCCACACCCCACCACCAGCTCGACGCCGCCTGCCCTGTCGTCGGCCTCGGACCCTGCCGACACCACTGGCAGCAGCAGCGCCGCCATGGAACCTCCCGTGCTTTCCTTTTACGGCAAGGAGCCTGTGCCGCTGCCATCGCGTTTCGGCCAGATCAAGCGCAGTCTTGTTGCCGGCCGCGAGAAAGAGATCGAGGCGTCGTGGGCCCGTTTGATCAAGGCGTTGCGCGACGATGTTGAGGACATTGCCTCGCGTGGCTCCAGCTTAACGCCAAGTATCGATTTCGGCGATATCCACAACCCGGACGCCCGGGCCGCCTTCTCACGCGACCTCAAGCGCTATGGCCTGGGCCTGGTGCGTGGGGTGGTACCCCGCGATGATGCACAGGTAGCCATCGACGAGACCGTCAAGTACCTCGAGAAGCAGACCGACTTCAAGCAGCCGTCGCCCCAAGATCCGACATGTTTCGACTTTTTCTGGACCCCTGCCCAGGTGCGCACGCGCGCCCACCCCCGGGTGCTGGAGGCCCAGCGCTTCGCCATGTCCCTATGGGATAACAATGTCGACGACCGCATGGCCCTCCGATTCCCCATCGCATATGGAGATCGTCTGCGAATTCACGGCGCCGATATCGGCAATGTGGGCCCTGACGCCGCGGCGGCCAATAAGGCTAAGGAGGCGGACGAGATGGTCGAGGACATTGAGCTGGACGAGGAACTGGAGGCGCAAAAAGCGGCCGCTGACCTGCTGGGCGACTTCACCTCGTCAACCATTATTGCGCAGGTTGATAATGGTAGCTTGGAGCGCTGGGAGCCCGATGGATACGGCCGCGACGGCACATACGATGCCGTGTTCAGGGGCGAGTGGGAAAAATACGACCCGTGGGATCCCACTCACCGCGTGACTGCCACGTCCGACCTGTATAACGGCTACGGTGCGTGCAGTATCTTCCGCATGTACCAGGGCGTCGTGGCCCTGAGCACCATTGAGCCGGGCCTGATCCGCCTGCTCCCGAGCCCCAAGCTCGCCACCGCTTACTTCCTCCTCCGTCCTTTCTTCACCCCCAAGACCAAGGCCCCCGAGCGCCGCGACGGCCCGGAATGGGACGCCTTCTTGGACCCCTCGAACTGGGAATTGGAGAAGGAACAATCCACCATCATCCACGGCGCCGTCCCGGGCCACGCCCAGCGCCTTACCGAGACGTGGCACCCCCACCTCCACCTCCGCCGCACCCTCCAGACCATCCCCACCCTCCAGACCGGCGACTACATCGTCTGGCACCCCGACCTGGCCTACCACATGACGTCCAACCCCAACGTCATGGCCAGCCGCGCGCCCACGCCGCCCCCAATGGCCGAGACTGAGGAACCCTCGGGCAAGCCCGTCTCCATCCTCGTCTACGTGCCCGCCGCCCCGCTCACCCAGACCAACGCCCTGTACCTCGCCCGCCAGCGCAAGACCTTCCAGCGCGGCCACCCGGGACCCGACTTCGATTCCACGGGGAGCGGCCTCGGCAGCGAAGCTACCCACATCGGCCGCCCCACCGACAACGACATTGCCGAGGTTGGTGGGCCCGCGGGCTTGCAGGCCATGGGCCTCGCGCCCTTCGACGTCGCGCCTACCCCGCCCGCCACCGCCTCCGCTGACCAGTCGCCGGCTCCCGGAGCGGCGCTGAATGGCGAGGGTCGCAGTGGCGAGGCTGAGGATGGTTCGGCGGGTGGGAGTGGCAGCATGACGCGCGCTGAGGCCGAGGTGGCTCGTCTGGCAAATATCATCCTGTTCCCGGATCGCTATGACTTTTACATGGCGAAGCGGAACAGCAATGGCAGCAAGCGCAGCAAAGTCAAGGTAGAGAGGCTACTGAACCCCGTGGATCCGCCTACGCCGCCGAGGGAGGTCAAGGGGAAGGGGAGGAGTTGAGCTGGGTTGGGCTGAGCTGGCGTGGTGACTACGAAGTTGTTATTGTTGTTGGGTTTGAAGGGAAGCGATGGAAGGAATTCTTCGTTTGTTTTCGGATCGTGTTTACGTTTACAGGGTGTTATAGAGGCGATGTCATACCCCTGGGTGCTTTGTTTTGGAAAGAGAGAGAGAGACGGAGGGAGGGAGGGATATTGTTATTGGAGTGCGCATCATTCCCCGGCCACAGAGGTCATATTCTACACGGGCTAGTTCTGCCCCAGGGCATATTGCGGCGATTTTTGAGTTGGATTTGTTCAGCATGTTAGCTTGGTTGCGTTTGAGCATCGGATTGTATCCGTAGAAACGAACAGTGCGCGTCTGTCTGTCTTGGCGGCAGACGCTCAAAGAATAATCCGACTGATTCCGTATGTGTGATGTGGTGGTTGTGATGCCCCGTCGCTTGGGAGTTGTGTTGGTGCCCCTGAATTAGACCCTAACCCTGGCCATCCCTTGGCGATCTTCACCTGCAACAACTCAGGCTGAATGCCGAGGTTGGTTGATCTGGGCATGAGCGTGACAACACAAATTAATAACCAATTTGTGTGATATCGTTCCAATGGGCAGCCCTTGGGGGTTCCAGGTCCAAGAACACCCGGCCCATCTCCTCCCCGGATCGAATACATGTACCCTTAAGCGACTACTACTAGTACTAACCCCTTTTTACCCATGTGACGCCTCACGCAGACTACCCTTCCGTTCTCTTTTTTCTCCTTTCCCTTTCGGCCGACCGTATGTACGTACGTACCATTCGTGGCGTCGACTTGGGTTTGGACGCCCACGCCTCGCTCTCAATTTTTCGCTCGGCAATGTCCGGCCAATCCCACACTCGCCCGGCCCGAAGCGCCTCACCCCGGCTAACGGGCGTGATCGACATCTGAACAACGGCTCGCCGAGATCCGAGCACCCGCGTTCGGCCTAGCGGCGTGTGCGCTGCGCACACGCTCCCTATCGGTATTGGCTTCGCAGCGTTTTCTGGAGAAGAAGCTTGTTGTTCCCCTGGAATTTGCTGGGATTTGGGTGTCCGCGAACAAAACCGCGTCTGGCTGCACTGGGGTCGGAAGATAAAGCCGGATCGTCGCCGCATCGTTTCCTGGTCCGGCCTGCGTGGCGTTGACGTGGTCGTCTCAGTGGTGTCGAAGGTCGAGTCGGCTTAACGGGCCTGAGGTGGTGTTACGAACCAAGGAATTGGCCAACGCCGAGCATATTGGGCGTCCGCTAGCGGAAATCTGATTCCGGTGAATGTCTCGGGACTCGGATCGTGGGAAACAGGGATTCGCGTGCGCAGCTACCAGACAGCCACAGCATCAGACTTGGCGGCTGAGCGATACCAAGTACGAACATACATTGCCAACACTTGGGATTGGTGAGGTTCAAAAGTTCAGATATCGGATGGTCAATCTCTCTTGACGCGTGGCGACACCGGGCCATATACCGGAGACCAGGATCCACGGACACGCTGTCAGTCAGAAAGGACGCGGAGCAAGGCGGTTACTCTCACTCTCACAAAGCGGGTTCAATCAGTGCTCAAGAGGTCTATATTCCCTTTAGCCACCTTTGCTGGACGCCATCGCAAGGCGCCGTTCGTGCCGTGGGGCGTTGAAGGTAAACGGGGCAACACTCCAGACTCCTTGGGGCTGTCCTGATTCACCAAGACAACTCCATGTTTTCAAGTGTGTCAGGAACTTGCGGGGAATCTGAGGATTAAATTACTCCGTCGTGGCGGCGCTTCTCGGGGTTTGGCCATATCCTGCCTGAACTGAAGCGCTTCAAAGGGACCCTGCTCGACTTGTTTGGGATAACTGGGGTGGTTGTCGGTTATGTTTATTGTTATTCTCACCAATCACTAGCCCGCTCGAGTCTTGTTTATACCAGATTCAACGACTTGGCAGAACTACTGGGAGTACCTATTCTGAATCACCAGAAACAATGTTGGTTGACAACCGCCCGAGTGAGGATGGACCGGTGCTGGCACAAGTCCGAAATGATGCGGCAACATCTCTGCCAGCATCACGAGGCATCGGGAATGAGCACAGGATCCTTGATGTTCGGTGGACAACGACACGTCTTGTCCACAAGATCAGGGAACTCCTCTCTCAACACACGCCTGCGTCAATATCGGCTGTCAGCAACCCCGACCTTCTAAACCACACTTCGTCTCTGGCCTTGTTCCCTGTTGATCTGGCCTACCCGAGCCCGTCCCTAACCGCGATGACAACCTTGATCCGCTTAATACTCCCTTTCCGTCTCACACCAAATGACGACCTCTACCACACCCACCTGCGGACGAAGCTCAACCCTCTCCTCCAAAGGGCACCCGTTCGACAGCTACCCCCGGAGGGTCGCCCAGTCCAACCTTTGTACCAGTAGCCTCAACGGCACAATCAGCCCCTGATATCGAAATCTCGCTTACGACCGGACCAGCCCAAAGGGCTCACGGACGCAGATGAGGCGCGCCGTCGTCAATATTGGCAGAACGTCCATTAACCCCTGAGTGCCTCCAATTACAATCGGCGCAGCGTAATCCATTGTCCATACGCCGCCGACTGACGGCGACTGCGACAGACGGCGGCTGAATATGAGCCAGCCCGATTAACTACCGATGGTAGGCGGCAGAAAAACCGGGGAATTTCTTTCGTACCA